AACACACACGTAAATACAAGAGGGTGAAACGTAGTGATATTGTCAACTTAGTCTTCCCTATCGACGAAGTCAGTTGATGATATACATGGGAGATGGCGCTGATAGGTTTAAAACGGAGGAATGAGAATTACTTGTATATAGTGTGAGCTAACTTTGGGAGATGACGCAGAACTATTGCAGGAGCATCAATAATCGAATATTAATATGTCAAGTATCGTAAGAACATCGTCAATCAATTGAACAAGAGTGAGGTGGTCATTCGCTAAGGTGTATCAAAACAAAGTATTGTCCAAGTCTCATAATAAAATCGAATAAAAATAATTCAAAGTATTTTCACGCAAAGTATCGATAATACCTCGTAATATTATGGTACAAGTATGAGGCAGGTATCGGACAGAATATTAATATGTCAAGTATCGTAAGAACATCGTCAATCAATCGAACAAGAGTGAGGTGGTCATTCGCTAAGGTGTATCAAAACAAAGTATTGTCCAAGTCTCATAATAAAATCGAATAAAAATAATTCAAAGTATTTTCACGCAAAGTATCGATAATACCTCGTAATATTATGGTACAAGTATGAGGCAGGTATCGGACAGAATATTAATATGTCAAGTATCGTAAGAACATCGTCAATCAATCGAACAAGAGTGAGGTGGTCATTCGCTAAGGTGTATCAAAACAAAGTATTGTCCAAGTCTCATAATAAAATCGAATAAAAATAATTCAAAGTATTTTCACGCAAAGTATCGATAATACCTCGTAATATTATGGTACAAGTATGAGGCAGGTATCGGACAGAATATTAATATGTCAAGTATCGTAAGAACATCGTCAATCAATCGAACAAGAGTGAGGTGGTCATTCGCTAAGGTGTATCAAAACAAAGTATTGTCCAAGTCTCATAATAAAATCGAATAAAAATAATTCAAAGTATTTTCACGCAAAGTATCGATAATACCTCGTAATATTATGGTACAAGTATGAGGCAGGTATCGGACAGAATATTAATATGTCAAGTATCGTAAGAACATCGTCAATCAATCGAACAAGAGTGAGGTGGTCATTCGCTAAGGTGTATCAAAACAAAGTATTGTCCAAGTCTCATAATAAAATCGAATAAAAATAATTCAAAGTATTTTCACGCAAAGTATCGATAATACCTCGTAATATTATGGTACAAGTATGAGGCAGGTATCGGACAGAATATTAATATGTCAAGTATCGTAAGAACATCGTCAATCAATCGAACAAGAGTGAGGTGGTCATTCGCTAAGGTGTATCAAAACAAAGTATTGTCCAAGTCTCATAATAAAATCGAATAAAAATAATTCAAAGTATTTTCACGCAAAGTATCGATAATACCTCGTAATATTATGGTACAAGTATGAGGCAGGTATCGGACAGAATATTAATATGTCAAGTATCGTAAGAACATCGTCAATCAATCGAACAAGAGTGAGGTGGTCATTCGCTAAGGTGTATCAAAACAAAGTATTGTCCAAGTCTCATAATAAAATCGAATAAAA